CTCAAAGAACCAGCTCTTTGTTTCATTGATCCTTTCTACTGTTTTGTTTTGTTTTTTTTTGCTTTGATTTCATTTATTTGTGCTCTGAGTTTTATTATTTCCCTCCTTCTGCTGACTTTAGGCTTTGTTTGTTCTGCTTTTTCTAAATCTGTTAGGCATAGTTTGAGGTTGCTTATTTGGGCTTTTCTTGTTTGTTAAGGTGGGCCTTTATTGCTATGAGTTTCCCTCTCAGGAACGCTTTTGCTGCGTCCCCTACGAGTTGATATGGTATATTTTCGTTTTCATTTGTCTCCAGATATGTTTTGATTTCTCCTTTAATTTCATCAATGATCCATTGGTTGTTCAATAGCATGTTGTTTGGTGTCCACGTCTTTGTCACTTTTCTAGCTTTTTCTTGTAGTTGATTTCTAGATTCATGGCGTTATGGTTGGAAAAGATGCTTGTTATTATTTCAATCTTCTTAAATTTATAGAGGCATGCTTTGTTTCCCAACTTATGGTCTATTCTTGAGAATGTTCCATGCATGCTTGAGAAAAAGGTGTAATCTGCTGTGTTTTGATGGAGAGCTCTCTATATATCTATTAAGTCCATCTCGTCAAGTTTTTCATTTAAGTCTGTTATTTCCTTATTGACTTTCTGTCTGGATGATCTATCCATTGATGTAAGTGGGGTGTTAAGATCCCCTACTATTATTGTGTTGTTGTTAATATCTCCTTTTAGGTTTGTTAATAGTTGCTTTATGTACTTGGGTGCTCCTGTGTTGGGTGCATATATATTTATAAGTGATATGTCTTCTTGGTGGAGTGTCCCTTTTATCATTATATATTGCCCCTCTTTGTCTCTCATTACCTGTTTTATCTTGAAGTCTACTTTGTCTGATATGAGTATGGCAACACCTGCTTTCTTTTGTTTGCCATTAGCTTGGATTATTGTCTTCTATCCTTTCACTCTGAGCCTGTGTTTGTCTTTCGAGCTGAGATGTTTCCTAGAGGCAGCATACTGTTGGGTCTTGTTTTTTTTTTTTTTTTGTGAGGAAGATCAACCCTGAGCTAACATCTGCCAATCTTCCTCTTTTTTCTGAGGAAGACTGGCCCTGGGCTAACATCCATGCCCATCTTCCTCCACTTTATATGGGACGCCACCACAGCATCGCCCAACAAGTGGTGTGTCAGTGCTGCACCTGGGATCTGAACCGGCGAACCCTGGGCCACCGCAGCGGAGCGTGTGTGCTTAACTGCTTGTGCCACCGGGCCAGCCCCTGTTGGGTCTTGTTTTTTAATTCATCCCACCACTCTGTGTCTTTTGATTGGAGAGTTCAATCCATTTACATTTAGGGTAATTATTGATATATGAGGGCTTATTGTTGCTATTTTATCGCTCATTTTCCAGTTCTTTTGTATTTCTTTTGTTTCTCATCCCATGTGTTTCGGACTACCAATTCAGTTTTGTAGTTCTATATGGAGGTTCTCTTAGTTTTATTTTTTTATTTATCGTGTGTGACTCTGTTCGGGTTATTTGGTTAGTGGTTACCATCAGGTATTTATAAAAATATCACGGATGTGATAGTCCATTTTTTGTCTGCCTCTTATTCCTTTAGACTAAGTCAGTTTGATCCCTTTCCTGTTCCCCTTCTAAGTTATTGTTGTCACAACTTATTCCATCTTATATTGTGAGTTTGTGTTTAAAGTGATGAGATTATATTTATTTTTGGTGTTTACCTTCCCTTGATCTTTGGTTTTATAATTAAGTGTTTGCTAATCTATTCTGATAGAGAGCTGCAATTTTTCTGGTTTTGTCAACCTATTTTCTTCCTTGTTCAAAACTCTGTACCCCCTTTCTCTTTTTTTTCTCAGGCATGAGGGCCTGCTTGAGCACTTCTTATATTGGGTGTCTTGTAGCAATGAACTCCCTTAGCGTTTGTTTATCTGGGATAGTTATTATTTCTCCATCATATTTGAAGGATATTTTTGCTGGATACAGTATTCTTGGTGAAGTTTTTGTATTTCAGAATTTTGAATCTGTCATTCCACTCTTTCTTAGCCTGTAAATTTTCTGCCGAGAAATCGGCTGAGAGCCTGATAGGAATTCCTTTGTACGTTGTTTTTTTTTTTTGTCTAGCTGCCCTTAGTGTTGTTTCTTTGTCATTAACTTTTGCAAGCTTTACTACTATATGCCTTTGAGTGGGTCTTTTTGTGTTGATATATTTAGTAGATCTATTGATTTCATTCGCTTGTATTTCCAGCTCCTTCCCCAGGTTTGGGAAGTTCTCAGCTATTATTTCATTGAACAAGTTCTCTTCTCCTTTTTCCCTCTCTTCTCTCTCTGGCATTCCTATAATCCTTATGTTGGATATCCTAATTGAGTTGGATATTTCTCAGAGAGTTTCTTCATTTCTTTTTAGTCTTAGTTCTCCTTCTTCTTTCATCTTGAGCATATCTGCATTACTGTCCTCAATATTGCTAATTCTTTCCTCCATATTGTCAATTCTGATGCTTAAGGTTTCCAGATTTGTCTTTATCTCTTCTATTTTGTTTTTCATCTCTAAGATTTATAATTGGTTTTTCTTTATAGTTTCAATCTCTTTTGTGAAGAAATTCCTGATTTCATTGAATTGTCTATCTGTGTTTCCTTGTATTTCATTGAGCTTTTTTATGATAGCTCTTTTGAATTCTCTGTCATTAACGTTATACATTTCTGTGCTTTCAGGGTTGATTTCTGGGTGCTTGTCATTTTCCTTTTGGTCTGGAGATTTAATGTATCTTTGCATAGCGCCTGTTGGTGTTGGCTTATTTTTCCTCATAGTGAAAATATCTAGTCGAAGTTCCTCTTGCTGCCACTGGGTGGGCGTCAAGAGCTGTGTATTCTGTGCCCACCCCAATCAGCGGGTGCTCTGGTCAGCCTGCAGCTGAGCTGAGGCGTGGCTGAGCTGAAGCCCACCTGAAGTGAAGTGCGGCTGAGTGGAGGCTGCTGGGAGTGGAGCACGGGAACAGCTGGAGCTGGAGTGTGGGAACAGCTGGGACTGGAGCGCAGCTAGGCCAAAGAAGCTGGGGCCTGGGTGTGGGTGGGCCAAGGAAGCCAGAGCTGAAGCATGGCTGAGCTTCAGTGTGGCTGAGCAGAAGCAGCTGGAGCTGGAGCATGGGAACAGCTGGGTGGACACAGCTGGAGCTGGAGTGTGGTTGGGTTGAAGCAACTGTAGCTGAAGTGTGGGTGGGCTAAAGAAGCAGGAGCTGGAGCTGGAGTGCCACTGGACCAAAGAAGCTGGAACTGGAGCATGGCTGGGCTGAAGTAGCTTGTGCCAAGTCAGCTGGAGCCTGAGCGCAGCTGAGCCCAAGCAACTGGAGCCATGGGGCGGTTGAGCTGATGGAGCTAGGGGTGGGCCACAGTCAAGCCAATGCAGCTGTGGGCTGTGACATGGTTGAGCCGATGCAGCTGGGGCTGTGGCGTGGTCAAGCAGGGAGCAGCTGGGGCTTGGGTGCAGTTGGAACTGAGCCACTAGTGCCGGGGTGCAGTTGTGCCACTGCCACTGGTGCGAGGCCTTCGGGGGGGCCACTGCCTCTGGTGGGACCAGGGCTCTAGGGGTCACTGCCACTGGGGCCTGGGTGTGGGTGCGCTGCTGCCACTGTTTCCCTGGGTGCCAGGGGTTGCCACCTCTGGGGCCAGAGTGGAAGTGCACCACTGCCGCTGGTGCTGGGGTGTGGGCGCGCTGCTACAGCTGGTGCCAGGGCTCCAGGGGGCTGCTGCTGCTGGGGGTGGGTCTCTGGGGAGCTGCTGCCTGGTATCGGGGCACAGGCGTGCCACCGCTGCTGGTGGGGCTGGGGTGCTGGGGGGACTGCCGCTGGTGCCAGGGCTCTGGGAAGCTGCTGCTGGGGGCAGGGCATGGGTGCAGTTCCACCGCTGGCTCTGGGTCTGGGGCCGGGCTGCAGTGCCGCTGAGCTAATGCTGTAGGGCCACTGTGCTGAAGCTTCAGGTGGAAAAGTGGGGGCAAGGGCACTTACTTTCATCTCCCTGATCCCAGAGGTTTCTCGCTTCCCTGTCTCTCTGTGCTCTCCTGAAGGGCTAGCTTGTTGAAAGTACCCTCACAACAGTTCTGCTCCCTCCAGAGGGGGATTCCACACTGGCTGTGAGGGGTCTTGGAGAGCACCAGTTTTCCCATGGAGGGCTGCCCCTCCCCCCCTCTGAGAGCCGTGTGGTCTCAGTCTCAGCGTCGTAGACCTTGGAGAAGGAAGGGAGCTCCTCTTAACTCCTTCCACTTCCTCTGGGGATTCCAGCACCTCAGCCCTCAGGTATATGGCTGCATGGGTGCCTCAGACGTCCCTTGTGTTGTGTGAATAACTTCTGTTAGAATATGAATGTCCTTTTTGTTGTGTCTTAGAGGGGGAAAGTTGAATGGGGAAGCTCAATCCGCCATGATGCTGTTGTCACTCCCCTGTAAACTGTCCTTTTTATTACAAGGAGTTAACATTCTTGTTCATCTAAGGGCAAATTCAGAGAAGCCATATAAAGGAAACAGGCTGACTGTAGGGAGAACAGAGGAGACTGCTTACAGGCAAAGATGGAAACTATGGCCAAGAAGATGGAGCAGCTCCACAAGGGATGTCTCAGTTTGGCTCAAGCTGAGTGTGGAGGATGAGGTGTTGAGTCTCTGGATACCTTGCCTGAGGTGTAAGCAGGGTCTGCACTAGGTAGAATCTCCTGGAACTTTATAAAAGGAAGATCATGCCACCACCTTAAGTTGATTATTTGGAGGAGAGATTTGGATGGGGAGAAAAGGAATTTAGGAAACCCATATTTGGCACAAACATAAAAAAATCATGTCAGTAGTCCCTTCTTTTCAAATACTTTAAAGCTCAATGGAAGGTTGGAAAAGAACACTGTTGGGTCTGTTCTCCAAGCTTAATTCCATGTTGTCTCTCTTCTCTCCCGTCCCTCCTTTTCACCCTTAGATTCCCTATGGGCGAAAGTATGACAAGACGTGGCTAATGGATTCAGTCCAGAGCCATTGCAGTGTCCCCTTCACTCCAGTGGATGTAAGAGAAGATGGTGAAGGCAGATGAGTGGGCACAGGGAAGGGGGAGAGACCTGGCTCAGCAGGGGCCATTGGCCTCTGACTGTTGCTGTTGCCTTTAATCCCCTTAGTTCCACTACGTGAAAAACTGGGCTCGGTTCTTTGTCCAAGATGCTGGCGTTGCCTCTGCATTAATGGAAGTCAGCTACAAGATTTGTGACCATGAGAACCGAAAGGTGTCTGTTGAGGGAATTACCTGTACCCAGTCTCAAGGGAGGAGGACAGTCCAGGGGCCGGTTGTCATCTTTGGAATTAGAGTTCCTGGTGCTTAATCCATCTCTCCTTCCTGCAGATATCTATCTTGGTCAGTCCCTCTGCTGAGCCGTACTCTGTGCAGTATAAGTTGGAGCCCAAAGAAATGGAGCAGCTAAAGGTAATGTAGACTCAAGGTACACTCTGTGCTCACAACCAGACCCATTTCTTCTTCCCCCAGCCCCTGATTTCCCTATCACCACTACAGCCTCGGAGCAGCTCTCTCCATCTCTCTCTGCAGCTGACCATGAACAAACGATATGATGTCTCCCAGCAAGCTCTTGATCTCCAGAGGATTCGCTTTGACCCAGGTATTGCTGACAGCAGTAATTCTACGGTAGGTGAGGGCAGAGAGATCTGCCTGGGAGGGAGATTTAGGGCTGGTAACGTGGGGAGGGGTTGGTGCTGGCCCTGGACCCCTCTCAGCCTTCTTTTTTTTTTTTTTTTAAAGATTTTATTTATTTATTTTTCCCTTCAAAGCCCCAGTAGATAGCTGTATGTCATAGTTGCACATCCTCTAGTTGCTGTATGTGGGATGCGGCCTCAGCATGGCCGGAGAAGCGGTGGGTCCAGTGCACGCCCGGGATCCGAACCCAGGCCGCCAGCAGGGGAGCGCGCGCACCCAACCACTAAGCCACGGGGCCGGCCCCCCCTTCAGCCTTCTGATTCTCTCTTCTTGGCTTTCTGAAGACTTGGTGGACCATGATATTGATATAATCCTGAATCGAAGAAACTGCATGGCTGCCACCCTGCAGATCATCGAGAAGAATTTCCCCAAGGTGAGGCCTTAGGCCTAGTGCTGATATTATGGTAGGGGGTGGAACAGATGGGATGCAGGGCAGATTTGTCTCCCAGGCCCTAGATAGTAACCATCACTCTAACTCTTCATCCCCACAAGCTATTGTCTTTAAACTTGTGCGACAACAAAGTGTACCGGCTGGATGGCCTGTCTGACATTATACAGAAGGCCCCCACAGTCAAGATCCTGAACCTCTCCAAAAATGAGGTGGGAAGAGGGAGCCAATCAAAGTTGGTTGAGAGTGGGTGGTGGTGCTCATCAGAGTGATGACAGGAGGCAGGTGAAGTTAACTGTGGGGAGAGTCAGGGCTGGGGGTACAGGGGCCCAGGTATCTCTCTTTCCCTGGGACACATTTTCTCATTTCCTCCCCATGTTTCTCAGCTGAAGTCAGCCAGGGAGTTGGACAAGATGAGAGGACTGAGACTTGAAGAGCTGTGGCTGGAAGGGAACCCCTTGTGTGACACCTTTCAAGACCAGTCCACCTACATAAGGTCAGTGTGAACCCCTGTCATGCTTTCTGGGGACTGTCACCCATAGGAGCCTGAACAACCCCTGATAACGTCCCTCCATAGGAGGAGGCAGCCTTGGTCCTCTGGAAGGACCACAGGCCTTCTCTTTTCTGTGTCCCTCATCTGTGCTTAGAAGGCTACTTTCCTTCTTCTGACCAGCTCACCTCTTCAGGTGCTCTGGGGACTGTTTCCCGACTCTGCACCTAGCTTTCTCTAGCATGCTCTCCCAAGAGTGTGCTCCAGGCAGCGTGGCTCCCTCTACTCACCAGGACCAGCAGTGACCAGCCTTGAGCCAGATGCTGGTGCCCTGGACTGAGAAGGTCCTCCAGACCAAGGTCTCGTGCTGACACATGCCTTCCTGCTTCTGAGCCAACATGGATTTTGCCTCCCCTGCCCTGAGAGGGGTCCTCTTTCCCTTATTCCAAAAGGGTCTGTCCTCCAATCCCAGGCTGCCATGGGGGTTTCCCTGCACCATGCTGAGGTCCGAGTTCCCAGCTGGCTTCTGTCATGACATCCGTTCCTCTGGCGCAAGGCCAGGAGCTGCGTACTCCTTGGTAGAAACCCGGGTTTCCTGAGTCAAGGGGCCAGAAGTGGGCCACTGCCAGTGAGAGGGCTTCCTGAGGCAGGATTGGAGGGCCATAGAGCAGAAGTGGTTGAGGAGACAGAAGGATATGCCTCTCAGGGGCACTGCCCCTCCCTCCATCCACACATCATGTCATCCTGCCTGGTCCTTCACAGGAGCCCTGGGTCACCCAAGATGGGTGTGATTTTTCAGACAAGGAATCAACTAAGACAGGCACAGGTGCACAGGGGCCATCTGGATAGAAGGCAGTGATCATAAGAGGAGGCCATGGACCGGCAACCCCATGCTGAGCTGGGGCCTGACCCTGACTCCTTCTGGGGAAGGTCTCCTGCCCCCAGGGCTGCTCCATTTCCCATTCCCAGCTCAGACTGAGTTCACACAGGTGAAAAAGTGTCAACCAGTATCCAATAGGCCCCCAGCCTAACAAGTGCGTGTTTTCCATTTCTGTCTTGAGTCCAGGGCCAGCCAGGGCAGATGAAGGAAAGGGCTGCAGCAGGGAAGTCATTACCCCTTTCTTCTTTCTTCTTCCTTGACCTCAGCCACCATGGCAGAGCTTCTTTCCCTCTCCTTTACTTTCTCCCTCTCCTTATCTCTACTCCCCTGTGTCTTTCTCATCTCTCTCCTCCTACTTTCATTCCTTCTCTGTCCATATCCCCTCCTTTTCCTTCCCTGTCTCCTGTGCCCAGCCTCACTCATCTCCCTGCCCAAACATGCTGGGCCATTTATTGGGGCTGTCTTGGTCCTGGCATAATGCTGGACCCCCACTGAGGTAGCAGAGCCCTGGGCTCCCACCCCATTCCCACTTCTCTCTGGAGACTTCAGTGGGGACTTGGAGGAAAGAAGGGAGGCAAGGAGGAGAAAGAATCCCTGGAGCCTGGGCTCCAAATGCTATGTCATGCATGGGAAAGGAATCAGAGCACTCTAGGTGAGAGCTACCAAGGAGGAAGGAGAGGGAGGCAGGGAGGGAGGGACAAAGGGGAGGGAGGAAGGGATTAAGAATGTGAAGCTTTGGAGAGAGATAAAGAGACTATACCTTTCAGGCAGACCATATGGCAGATGCTCAGTTCTCAGCAGGGAAGTGGACCCTTGAAATCAGAGGCTGAGGGGGACAAAGGGGGCTTCTGCGTGGGCAGAAGACACTGGGCTCTGTTTATGGTGTCAGTGTTTTAAATCAAAGGGAGCATTGCAGCCCCAAACTATCAACCATTTCTTTCTATTTTTGGTTTTGGACAGAGCCATCAGGGAATATTTCCCCGACTTGTTATGCCTGGTAAGTGCCTATGTTCATCATCGTCTCTTACTCACATTGATGACCTCCACACCTGCCCTCAAGACCTTTAGGTCTCGCCTAGATTATATGTTTGCATCAGACCCTTATCCACTTTAGGGGACATGGACTCCTGAAAAAGACGTGAATATACTCTCTGGAAAAATGTCCATACAAACAGACACACGTTGCATATAATAGTAGAGACTTCCAGGGTCTCATGATGAAGACACCCACTGTAATCTTGCCCATGGAATTTCCAGGGCCCTTTCACACATGACCTCTGACCCTCACCCTCTCCTGGGCCCATGCTTTTGCCTGATCATCCAGGGCCACCTTGCTGGTCTGCACTGCTGACTTCCTCTTCCCTTCTCCAGGATGGCCAGGAGTTACTCCAACCAATTATGGTTGATATTGACACCCCCTACTTAATAAAGCCCTGCAAGGTAAGGAAGAAGGATCAAACAACATGTGAGGTATTACAAGGGAGGCTTTATCAGCCACATGGTCTCAAATGTCTTTTGATTCCAGGAAAGCTATAAACGATGTGAGACCCTGAAGAATCTAGTCCTGCAATTCTTGCAGGAGTAAGTACTCCTGGGACCACAAGGAATGGGGAAGACTGGGACAGGCTGGGCCACCCAAGCACAGGTCTTCTTGTGGAAATTTTCAAGTCTCATTTGAGGTCCAGACCACAGAGATAGACTGTCTTCATTGCTGCCCCACAGGTATTATTTGATCTATGACTCTGGAGACAGACAGGGTCTTGTCGGTGCTTACCACGACGAGGCCTGCTTCTCCCTGACCATTCCCTTCAACCCCGAGGATGCAGCCCCGTGAGTATCACAGCTCAGACTCTGCTCCTGGGCTCTGTAGCTCCCCAGCAGACACAGGCCAGCTCCTGGAAATACCCACACTGGACAGACCACCACCTCCTGTTCCTCTTTCTCTCCTAGAAACAGCTTGTGCGAGTACTTCAAGGATAACAGGAATATAAAGAAGCTCAAGGACCCCTGTGCGTGTGTGATGGGGACGATTGGGCAGGGAAAGGGGACGTGGAGGGGTCAATCATAGGACACAGGGTGTGGTATGACCTTCGCTCTCCTCCCCCCACAGACCTGCGGGTTCAGCTGCTGAAACACACAAAAGTTGACATCGTGCGCTCCCTCTGTGTGTTGCCCAAAACTCAGCATGACTTCAGCTCCTTCTCGGTGGAAACTTGGTTCCAGACGGTGAGCACCTGCTTCCTGCCTCAGGCAGGCCCTGAAAGCCGCAGGTGGGCAGGGGTTTAGCTGGTGACTGAGCACCTGGGCTCTTTCCTTTCAGGAAAGGATGCTCTGCTTCTCTGTCAATGGGGTGTTCAAGGAAGGTGAGTGTGTGTGGAGTCCCCACTCCAGATGCCCCACTTTTCCCTCCCCCTCGCTGGGCTCCCTCTCAGAACTCTCCCAGCTTCCCTGATCTCTTCCCCTCTCTTTCTATTCCCTCTGTGTTCTTCAGTCCCCACTCTGCCTCCAAACCATCGTGGTCTGACCTGCCTCCATGCCTGTCTACCCCTCACAGCTCAGGCATTAGGGAGACAGGCTGTGGAGTTTGATGGCTGTCATCCCGGATCTGTACTCTGTGAACTTGGGCCAGTTACTTAACCTCTCATTTGCAAAATGGGGCTAATAATGCCCACCTCTTGGGTAGCTGTGAAAAATGAATCGAATGATCTTGTAAAGTGCTTGTCACAGAACCCGCCACATAGTAGGGCCCTTGTCACTGAGAGCAGATTGTTCCTATTGTTGCCCTCCCCATTCCCAACACCCTGACTCCCAGTGAACAACTATCCCCTTCAGCATGAGTGTCAAATCAGACCCTGACTGGGCAACACTGTGTGAGCATGTAAAGCACGTGCGACTCTAAGGAGGTATTGTTGTTTGTTGTTTGGTTTTGATGTGGTAGGAGAGTCTCAGAGTTCTGTCCATGCCTTCACACGGACCTTCATCGCTATCCCTGCCAGCAATTCCAGGTGAGTACTGTGTTATGAGTGGGAACACCCAACCCAGCCTGGACTCAGGGGTGTGGGAATGTGGTGGTGCAGGGTTTTCTCAAAACTGTGGAAAGCCAACAGGTAGATCCAAGGTGTGGTTTAGCCTGGTGGGTAAGAGCATGGGATCTGGAGTCACAACACTGGGTTCTCTTCCTGGCCCCAGCACTCACTAGCTGTGTGACCTTGGTCAAGCCACATGACCTCTCTGTGACTCAGTGTCTTCCTCTGAACATGGAGATTAGACTGTCCATTCCTTGGGCTGTTGTACAGGGTAAATACGCGTGTAAAATTGTCCCTGAATTGCAGGTAAAGTACAAATCCAGTGAAGCTGGTAGACAATCTCTCCAAAGATGGGCTCTGTGAGAGGGGAAGAGGTACCAGCCATGGAATCTGGGGGGCAGGCACAGTAGAGTATGGAAGGAATCTGGTTGCTTAGTGGTGGTGGGAGGAGGATCGTTGTTGGTGGTGTGGGGTAGTCCATCCATCAGTTGTCTGGGGGCCCATTTTTCCTCCAGTCTATGCATCGTGAATGACCAGCTGTTTGTGAGGGACACCACCCACAACGAAACTCAGAGTACATTCTTCATCCCAGTTCCCACACCCACCTCCAGCTCCATGCCCACCCTCTCCCAGGAGCAGCAAGAAATAGTGCAGGCTTTCTCCACCCAGTCTGGGATGAACCTACGGTGGTCTCAGAAGTGAGTACTGGGTGTGCATGGGGATAGGGCGATTTGGGACAGCTGGGGAGTGAATCAGTGTAACTCACAGGCAATTTGGAAAAATAACTTTTTGGATATTTTGCTTCCAAAAAAAATTGGGCCCATGAAAAAGGTATCATACTATTATATATGTAAAGGATTCTAAAAATAGTACAATGCTCAATGACATCTTGTATATGCAAAATCTGAAAGAATCCACCAAAAAACTACTAGAACTAATAAGCAAGTTCAGCAAGGTTGCAGGATACAAGATCAACATACAAAACTCATTTGTATTTCTATGTACTTGGAATGAACGATCCAAAAGTTAAATTAAGAAAACAAGTCCATTTACAATAGCATCAAAATAACAAAGTACATAGAAACAAATGCAACAAAATAAGCACAAATCTTATATTCTGAAATCTGTAAAACACTGTTGGAAAAAATTAAAGAAGTCATAAATAAATGGAAAGACACTCCATTTTCATGGGTTGGAAGGCTTAATATTTTTAAGATGTCAGTACTACCCAAAGCAATCTACAGAATCATGCAATCCTTATCAAAAATCTGTCCATGCACACATTGACATGCCTATCCTGAATGTCATATGGAAGTTCACCAAAATGATCTTGGGAGAGAAGAACAAAGTTAGGGGACTCACACTTCCCAATTTCATAACTTGCTACAAAGCTACCATAATCAAGACTGTGTGGTACTGACATCCGGAATGGAATTGAGAGTTTACAAATAAACCCTCACATTTATGGTTGATTGATTATCAACCAGAATGCTGAAAAACTCCGATGGAGAAAAAAGTAGCCTTTTCAACAAATAGTGCTGGGACAACTGGATATCTATATGCAAAACAATGAATTTTGACCCCTCACTCACACCCTATGCAAACATAGACTTAAAATGGATTTAAGTAAGAGCTAAAACTATCAAATTATTGGAAGAAAACATAGGTGTAAATTTTCATGAATTAGGCAACCATTTCTTATATATATGACACCAAAAGCACAAGCAACCAAGAAAAAAAGATAAATTGGACTTCATCAAAATTAAAAGCTTTTATGCATCAATGGACACTATCAAAAAAGAAAACCCCATGAACAGAATGGCAGAAAATATTTGCAAATCACATATCTGGCAATATATGAAGAACCCGTGCAACTCAACAATAAAAAGACAAACAACCCAATTTAAAAAAATGGAGAAAGGATCTGAATAGACATTTCTCCAAAAAGATATACAAATGGCCAATGAGCACATGAAAAACTTCTTAACATCATTAGTCATTAAGGAAATAGAAATTAAAACCACAATGATTTACCACTTCACACCCACTGGGATGGCTTTAATCGATAAAACGAATGAGAACAAGCGTTGGTGAGGATGTGGAGAAATTGGAATTCTCATGTATCACTGGTGGGAATATAATATAGAGCAGTGGTTGCGGAAACATTTTGGCAGTTCCTCAAAGGGTTAAACATGGAGTTACCATATGACCCAGTAATCCTACTCCTAAGTATCTACCAGGAGAAATTAATACATGTGTTCACTCTAAAACTTGTACAGGAATGTTCATAGCAGCATTATTTATAATGGCCACAAAGTGGAAACAGCCCAAATGTCCTTTAGCTGATGAACAGACAAATAAATCTTGTATGACCATATAGTAAAATATTATTCAGTCATAAAAAAGAATACAGTTCTCATATATACCATGACATGGATGAACCTTGAAATCATGCTAAGTGAAAGGAGCCAGTCACAAAAGTTTGCATATTGTGTGGTTCCATTTATTTGATTCCATTTATATGAAATTTCTAAAATAGGCAAATCCACAGAGACCAAAGCAGATGAGTGGTTACCAGTTTCTGGGGTAAGGGGAAGAATAGTGAGTGAACTCGAATGGTTAAGGAGTTTCTTTTTGAGGTGATAAAATTATTTTGGAATTAGATAGTTGTGATGGTTGCACAATCTTGTGAATATACTAAAAAGCACTGAATTGTACACTTTAAAATGGTATGTGCATTATATCTCAATAAACAATGATTGGAAGCTTGTATTTTTAAAATTTTCATTTGTTAGTTTCTTGAACATCTTTATCACTATATATTAAGCTCCCTTATTCTTTTGAACAGCTCTATTTTTCGGTTTTGCATTCTGGTGGGCATGAATGCTAGTGATAGACATTTTGGTTTTCACTAGGTCTTTCTTTGTCATTACACATAGTGATCATTCTGGTACATGTGTCCCAGCAAATATGTGGCATAGATTTAATGGCGGCATTGCATGGTCAGCGTGTCTGTACTGCGGTACTAATGGAGATCACCTGTTCTTCTCCCACTCCAGGTGCCTTCAGGACAATGAGTGGAACTACACCAGAGCTGGTCAGGTCTTCACTATGCTCAAGGTGAGTTCTGAGAATCAAGTGGGTTAAAGAAGGACATTTCTGGGCCTTTCAGGAAGGACAGGAAGGTGGAGGCAGGTGGCCTGGGAATGAAACTCAGGGAGCTGGCTCTTCTGACATCCTGATTCCTTCCCTCCAGACTGAGGGCAAGATCCCAGCGGAGGCCTTCAAAGAAATCCCCTAAAAGGAGCTGTTGGATGTCGTCTTTGTCTTCATCCCCATCATCTTTGTTTCTCTTTTCTCCAGCCTAAGGCCATGCCCATGACTGGGGGTGGAGGCCTGGCTGACCAAGAACCCAAAGTTAACTTTTAGACCAGGTAACATAACAACCTGAAGGGACAGTTGTTCTCTGTATTTTCCCCACTCATGATGGCTGTTTATTTTCATAATAAAGAGTGATGTTGCACGTTGTATGTTGTGTGTCCTGGATGACTCCTCCCCTGCTCCAACCATGAGCCAATGGGTCCAGGACTGAAAGGCCCTACCCTCTCCTCCCGCCCTCCATTCACCCTGGCAGTCCCTAGCAGATACATCAGGCTTGGCTCTATAGGTAGTTTGTCAGTAAATCCTATGAGAAGGGATAGGTGCTGCTTCTAGGGATTGGCCTCTGGAGACAGTGTGACTTAGCCCGATGCTCTACCTGGAGGCCCCCAGAAGCAGGCGTGTGACCTGGCACAAAGGGGCTTTGCAAGGGATGCCTACTGGCTGCTGAGGGCTGTGGAAGGAAGGAAGGTGAGGACTCACATATTTCACTTCTTATTCCCAGTCATTTGAATGTTTTCAAAGACCACACCATGAACAATTTTATGATTTGCACAGCTCTCACAATGCTTCCATCTGTCTTCTCATCCATCCACTGTGCTGCCTTCTCCTCCTTTCTTAAGGTGCCCTGTGGGAGGGATCTCGCTTTAGTGCCTGAGAGGGAGGGCGAGCCAGCCTGTCTGCCCAGTGCCTTTCTCAGAGAGCTGACACAGGGTGCTCCATGTCCATGTGCTGGAGGGGGTGCAGTCCCTTATTTTCACTTCCACACAAGCCACAGCGGCACCTTATCTCACATTCTGATCAGTTCTGTGGGACCTTTCTCATTAACTGGCAATTGGTAGTTCAGAATTGCAGGCAAGAGTTGAAACAGACACCTGCACAATTTATTTTCCACACTTCTGTGATGTTTGCACTTGCGATAACAAGCAGGCATAATTTTTGAAATTAAATCAATAGTAGTACCAAATTTCAACTTACAATATTATAAATGATGACATAGGTGAGGTACCACCTGTTTACAAATTATGCCTCTATTTTGGGGTCTTGTATATGTTATTTTCTACTACTTGCCACTCTTCTTTTCTTTATGTATATTTACATGAGGGATCCATATATTGGCGTGTGCTTGTCTTAAAAATATGAACTAAGGGATAATTGTCATTATGTAAGGAATAATCCCATGTTATTCCACGTAGTGCCTCAATGATCAAAGACTAGTCTCAACATTCTCACCTAGAGAACAGAGAGCACAGTGCACACCTCTCAGCTGCACTGTGAGGAATAAAGGCAGTCTCACACATTAGCAAACAGTCGCAGTGTCTGGCTCAACTCAGGCTCTCTGAGCTGTCTGAGTTCCCTTGTTGGCAGGGACCGTGGAATCCATCACATGGCCCCTCTACTTCCTCTCTGTACGTCATCAGGCTTCCACATCCTTGGACTCCTTCCCTAGCCAGCTCAGATGCCATGGTCTTCCAGTCACTCATTGTCCTGCCATTCCCTCAATTCCCTTGGTCCCATGACCTGGGCAAATGCTAACCCTTCTGTCTTCCTCCTCATACACAGGTCTCTGTGCAAACTGTCCCACAGGACAGGTTTTTGGAACTATAAATGCTGAGGCAAAATGTGTGCTTTGTAAGATTATTTCTGAAGTTGGGGGGCAACAGTTACTCTTATACATTGTATCTGAGCATGTAAATTGGCATAGCCATTCTTTAGTATGATTTGGAACAATTTAGTCATAAATGCACACACACGTATATGTACACGCATTTTTATATTAAAGAGAATTATAATGCAGATACATTTTGTATGCATTTCATTTAAGCTGTCAAATTTATTGACATGAATTTGTTTATAATACTCACTTATTATTGTCCTTTGTAATTAGTATTTTGGTGGTGAACATGATGTAATCTATGCAGAAATAGAAGTACAATGATGTACACCTGAAATTTTTACAATGTTATAAACCAATGTTACTGCAGTAAACAAAAAATTAAAAAAAAATAGATTTTGTGGGATTTATAGTGGGGTTTTTAAAAAGTGAGGTGAAATTCACATAACATAAAATTAACCATTTGGTGTGTGTGTGTGTGTTTGTGTGTGAGGAAGATTAACCCTGAGCTCACATATGTTGCCAATCCTCCTCTTTTTGCTGAGGAAGATTGGCCCTGGGCTAACATCCATGCCAATTTTCCTCTACTTTCTATGGGACGCCGCCATAGCATGGCTTGGTAAGGGGTGCGTTGGTCTGCGCCCGGGATCCAAACCTGTGAACCCCATGCCACCAAAGCAGAGCACGTGACCTTAACTGCTATGCCACCGGGCCGGCCCCCAAATTAACCATTTTAAAGTGAGCAATATATTGGTGTTTGGTACATTTAAAATGTTGTGGAATGACCACCTCTATCCAGCTCCAAAACATTTTCATCACCTCAAAATAAAACCCCATATACTTTAAGTGGTTACTGCCATTTCCCCCTCTCCTGCCTCCCCTGGCAAACAATCTGCTTTCTCTGTCTATGTATTTGTCTCTTCTGGAAATTTCACATAAATGGAATCATACAATATGTGAGATTTTGTGTCTGGCTTCTTTCACTTAGCATAATGTTTTTGAAGTTCATCCACACTGAAGCATATATCAGTACTTCATTCCCTTTTCTGGATGAATCATATTCCAATGTATGTATATACCACAATTTGTTTATCCATTCATCCCTTGATGACAACTCATGGACCTACGAGTTGTTTCAACCTTTTAAATATTGTGAATAATACTGCTGTGAGTATTTGTGCACAAGAATCTGTTTGAGCACCTCTTTTCAATTCTTTTGAGTATACACCTAGTAGTAGCTGGGTCATACAGTACTTCTGTCTTTAATTTTGTGAGGAACCACCAAACCATTCTCCACAGCAGGAGAACCACTTTACATTCCCACCAGCAATGTACAGGAGTTCCAATTTCTCTACATCCTCATCAACACTTCTTACATTCCTTTTTTAAAAATTATAGCCATTGTAGTTGATGTGACGTGGCATCTCATTGTGGTTTTGATTTGCATTTACCTAACAATTAATAAATTTTCCTCCAAGCACTGCTTTTTGCTGCATCCCACAAGTTTTGGTATTCTGTGTTTCTGTTTTCAATTGTCTAAAGGTATTTTAAATTTCCCTCATGATTTATTCTTTGACCAATAGGTTGTTTAACTGTGTGTTGTTCACTTTTCACATATTCGTTCATTCTCTAGTTTTCCTTCTGTTATGAATTTCTAGCTTCATTCCATTGTGGTCAGAGAAGATACTTTGTATGATTTCAATCTTTTAAAATTTGAGAGTGACTTTTGTGGCCTAACGTATGGTTTTCATGGAGAATGTTCCATGTACCCTTGAGAAAAATGTGTATTCCAGTGTTGTTGGGTGAAGTGTTCTATACGTCTCTATTAGTTACAGTAGGTTTATAGTGTTGTTCAAATCCTCTATTTCCCTATTGATCTGTCTAGATGTTTTATCCATTATTGAAAGTGGGATATTGAATTCATCAACTATCTTGTGGAACATCTATTTGTCCCTTCAACTCTGTCAATGTGTGCTCCATATATATTGGGTCTCTGTTGTTTGATGCATATATGTTTATAATTATTATATCTTCTTGATTAATTTATGCCTTTATCAATATCTAATGATCTTCTCTGTCTCTTGTAACAATTTTTTACCTAGAGTCTATTTTGTCTGATTTTGGTACAGCCACCTCAGCTCTCTTGTTCTTACTCTTTGGATGGAATACCTTTTTCCCTTCTTTCAATTTCAACCTATTTCTTTTTTTGGGGGGGGATCTAAAGACAGTCACTTGTAGACAGCATGTAGCAGTATAATTTTTTTAAATCTATTCTGCCAGTTTCTGTCTTTTAATTGGTAGGTTAATGCCACTATGTTTAAAGTGATTAGAGATAATGAAGGAATATTCTGCCCTTTTGCTATCAGTTTTTTATATTTCTTATATCTTTTTTGTTCCTCAATTCCTACTAAAGTGGCTTATTTTGTGGTTGATTGATTTTTTGTAGCCTGTCTTTTTGATTGACTTGTCACGTATGTGTGTGTGTAATTTACTTAGTGGTTACCATGGGTATTATATTAACCTTCCTAAATTTTAAACAATCTCCTTTGAATTGACACCAACTTAACTTCAATGGCATACCAAAGTCTGTTTCTGTATAGACACATGCCCCTCCCTTTATGTTGTTATTCCCACAGATTACTTCTTGATACTTTGTGTAACTCTTAACATAGATTTATAATTATTGATTTATGGAATTCCTTTTCAATCATATAGGAAACAAAGCAGGGGTTACAAAGCCAAAATTCAATAATACTTGATTTTCTATTTACCTATGTAGTTGCTTTTACTAAAGTTCTTTGTTTCTTCACATGGCTTCAAGTTACTGTCTAATGTCCTTTCATTTCAGTGTGAAGGACTCCCTTTAGTGTTATTTGTAGGGCTGAGATACAAACAACAAACTCCATCAGCTTTTATTTATCTGGGAATGTCTTAATTTCTCCTTCATTTTTGAAGGATAGTGTGAAAATCAATAAAGGGAAACCTCATTTAAAATGGAGTTGGGAGGGGGCCGGCCTGGTGGTGCAAGCAGTTAAGTGCACACATTCTGCTGCAGCAGCCCGGGGTTCACCAGTTCAGATCCCGGGCATGCACCGACACAATGCTTGTCGAGCCATGCTGTGGCAGCATCCCATATAAAGTAGAGGAAGGTGGGCACGGATGTTAGCTCAGGGCCAAACTTCCTCAGCAAAAAGAGGAGGATTGGCATCAGATGTTAGCTCAGGGCTGATTTTCCTCACACACACAAAAATAAAATTAAAAAAAAATAAAATGGAGTTGGGAAACCCTATAAGGGGAGCTCTCACACCCACACCTTCCACCAAAGCTTACTTTACAATTTTGGGCAGGAAGTGCAACTACTTTAGCACTCCAGCAGGAGGAAGGAAGGTTTTCTCTTTGCCCAGCAACAGCCCAGCCAATGAGAAGCACCTCAGCT